CCAGGTCTGTGCTGTATTATTACATTTCTAAGATATCCCACACCTTCTGAAATTAAAAAAAAAAAAAAAAAATTCCTATATGTATAAATATCGTTAAAAGCCTTTTTTAAAAAAATGTTTATTTATTTTGAGAGAGAGAGAGAGAATGAGTGACGGAGGCAGGAGCACAGAGGGAGGGAGAGAGAGAATCCCAAACAGGCTCCATGCTCACAGCACAGAGCCTGACATGGGGCTAAATCTCACAAACCCATGAGATCATGACCTGAGCCGAAATCAAGAGTTGGACAGTGACTGAACCATCCAGGTGCCTCTAAATCTTAAAAGTCTTAAAAGGAATGACTAGTTGAAGGGGAAGGATGACAATTTTTTTGGTACTAATCCAAAGTTCTCCCTGCCAGCAAAACAGCCTCTACATTTACATGCTAATTCTCTGAGTTCTTTTAATTATTATTATCTACAAAAAAACCTTTTTTAATGTTTGTTTATTTTTCAAGGAGAGAGAGACAGAGCGTGAGTGGGGGAGGGGCAGAGAGAGAGGGAGACACAGAATCTGAAGCAGGCTCCAGGCTCTGGGCTGTCAGCACAGAGCCCGATGCGTGAGGCTCGAACTCACGGGCTGTGAGATCATGACCTGAGCTGAAGTTGGACGCTTAACCGACTGAGCCACCCAGGCACCCCTGAGCTCTTTTAATTATTAAAAATAGTAACAGTAATCCAAATGTGAGTCTCCTACCTAGTCAGTTAGGTGCTAAGCATATCTAGTTCTATTTTTTTTCAAGCCTAGGAACAGTGTTTCTATACATATATGGTGAATAATAGGTTATTTGGAGTAAACCTGTTACTCTATAAAGAAAGCTTTTTCTGTTTGTTTATTGAAAGAACCACCCCTCAAATGGCTACCCTTTACTTTGCCTTTTTTCATTGCTAAGACTCTAGGATTCATACTTGATAATTCCAAACTGGGTGCAAATTTCTATTATATATGCTTTTATTGAAAAATAATATTAAATGCGTAAAGGGAATATAGTGTGGATATTTAAATGCTTTTCTCACAGTTAGTTATATAGCTGTTTCAAATCCTTGATGCTTCGATGACTCAAAGACAAAGTTGTTTTTAATTTTTTGCCTTGTGTAACACACAATCATTAGTCCAGGAACCAAATGTAATTGAGCTACTAGGTATAAGTTTCTAGAAAGTAATTGAGATTGACATTTTAATAATGGGATCATATTAGTGGAAAAATGGTGACTAAGAACTTTAAGAATATACTATAATGGGATGGTTACATTAATTAAAAACTGAAAACAAACTACTCTTCTCTGTGGTACATATAATTTGGAAAGAGAAATAGGGACTTCTAATATCTTGTACATTTCTATAAAAAGAAGAAAAGAAATAAGTGGTCTAATACTTATTTTTCTTGTCTCTCCAATTTTTTTTTATTTTTTTTTCAACGTTTTTTATTTATTTTTGGGACAGAGAGAGACAGAGCATGAACGGGGGAGGGGCAGAGAGAGAGGGAGACACAGAATCAGAAACGCTCCAGGCCCTGAGCCATCAGCCCAGAGCCCGATGTGGGGCTCGAACTCACGGACCGCGAGATCGTGACCTGGCTGAAGTCGGACGCTTAACCGACTGCGCCACCCAGGCGCCCCTCTCCAATTTCTTAAAATATGTGAAGTCAGCTGTAGTTAGGTCAGTACAATTGAGACATACCTATTGCTGCAGGAAAAACAAACCTCACAGAATATACAGAATAAAAAAATATGGGTCATTAAGATGACCCTACATCTTTTCTAGTTTTGTTTTACTTGGAGTTGTCAATGATGCGGGTAAAGAACCCAACAGCTGTATATTTTTAGTTCAGTATAATTACATGTACCTCTTCTCACGATTTTTAAGAAAACCAAGAACTTCTAACTTTAGAACAGTACATAAGATACTTAATCCCATGTATCTTAATACGCAAATAAATAAGAAAAAGAGAAAGTTACTGCGAGAACTATATACTAGATACCCTGCAACTGAGAAAATTAGAATTTAAAAAATACTTTAAAATTTCCAAATAAGTTTAAAAGAGCATAACAATTGCTTACCAAGTAGCAGTGGAAGAGTCCACTCTGTTGTTAGTACTATCAAAGGAATACTATCCAATAGAACTTTCTATGATGATAGAAATGTTGTAAATCTGTGCTGTCCACTAGAGTAGCCACTGGCTACATGTATCTACTGGAATTCTTGAAATATGCCTAGGACAACTGAGGAACTGAATTTTTAGTTTCATTGTATTATAGTTAATTTACATTTACACTTGAGTAGCCACACATGACACATGAATGCCACACTGGATAGTGCCGGCCTACAGATTTTAAGCCACGGAATATGGTCTTTATTGATTCTTTTAAATGTCCTGGTTTTCCCCATCTGTCCTAAGTAGATTTCAACTTAAATTCTTTTGGTCCTATAAAACAAGCCCTGAAATGCTGTTTACACATTACTGGTTTAAATCAATAAGAGATCAGAGTTCTCTGGTCGTAAGTTGGTAAAAGAGACATTGCAATGTTCAGAAGGTCCTTCTGAACACACCTTTTGTATTTCAGTATAGCGCCCATGGATGGCATGGGGCCTTGGAGATTGTTTTATAGGAAACCCAAGGCAAAGTTTTGGCAGTTAGTGGCCAAATTGGTATAGCATCAGTTCTTTAGCAAACAAAAAATAACTTAGAATTAAGCATGTTTTGCTTATTCATCTGAAACTGAAAGTTTGAAAAAGTTAATTTTATGGAGGGTTTTTTCCCCCCACTGTTTTGTTATTTGTAAGCAAAAAAATCATATTTATTTTGCTATAAATGTGTGAATGTTAGAAAGCGGGGGCTTCCAAAACATAGGAGAAGGGAGGCTGTTATATAGAAATTTCTATCAGGAACTCCCCTGGATTACTGTCTTGCTTCTTCCGTTACAAGGTTGATGGCATATTATGGACAAAGAGTTTCTTCTGTTCAGTACTCTTAGGATGTAAAATAAAGCTTCCTATCTTAGTGCCTTTCTAATTAGGACAAACATTTCAGTGTGCTTTTCCCAGAGCTGGATTTTTACTGAAAACATGTACAGCCCAGCTTTCTAAGCTTATCTGTACCTCAAAAACAAAAACAGAACAAAACAAAACAAAAAATCCCCAAAACCTAAAGATTTCTAGTGGCAGAACTCTGTAGAATGTACCCATTTTTGTCGCCAAGATTTTTTTTTCAATATATGAAATTTATTGCCAAAATGGTTTCCATACAACACCCAGTGCTCATCCCAAAAGGTACCCTCCTCAATGCCCATCACCCACCCTCACCTCCCTCCCACCCCCCGTCAACCCTCAGTTTGTTCTCAGTTTTTAAGAGTCTCCTATGCTTTGGCTCTCTCCCACTCTAACCTCTTTTTTTTTTTTTTTCCTTCCCCTCCCCCATGGGTTTTGTTAAGTTTCTCAGGATCCACATAAGAGTGAAACCATATGGTATCTGTCTTTCTCTGTATGGCTTATTTCACTTAGCATCACACTCTCCAGTTCCATCCACGTTGCTACAAAGGGCCATATTTCATTTTTTCTCATTGCCACGTAGTATTCCATAGTGTATATAAACCACAATTTCTTTATCCATTCATCAGTTGATGGACATTTAGGCTCTTTCCATAATTTGGCTATTGTTGAGAGTGCTGCTATAAACATTGGGGTACAAGTGCCCCTATGCATCAGTACTCCTGTATCCCTTGGGTAAATTCCTAGCAGTGCTATTGCTGGGTCATAGGGTAGGTCTATTTTTAATTTTCTGAGGAATCTCCACACTGTTTTCCAGAGTGGCTGCACCAATTTGCATTCCCACCAACAGTGCAAGAGGGTTCCCGTTTCTCCACATCCTCGCCAGCATCTATAGTCTCCTGATTTGTTCATTTTGGTTGTGGCCAAGATTAAAGCAGTCCTCAGTAGTTTCCTAACTCTACCATGGAGTGCCTTCTGGCAACTGTTTCCTCCTTGCCAATGAAACAAAGAAGAATAAAATCAACATTTGTCTACCTACCCACCACTTATCCTATCTGTCTTCTGCTTTGATAAAATATAATCCCAAGATATTCAGAAGGAGATAAGCTACTCTTTTCATTCTCCCTGGAGGGACTAGGGGATGTCCTCCCTGTTAATTTAGGAAGTTGAGGGTTTGTTCCTTGAGCTGAGTTTTTGTCAGGAGAAAAAAGTCTTTTGATCTGGAAAATGCAGGAGTCTTTTTATGAAAAATATCAGGCAGGGCCATGTGAGAGGAAATGGATGGAGAGAGCAGTCCCTGATTACTTATGCTGCCCTCTCAGGTTCTGACTGTAATGCCCAGCTGCATGATTCATACCTACCAGAGGGCTAGGCTATGTGGGGATTAAAGGGTACCTTGTCTCCAACTCCACATTGCCCTTTTCCCTATATCTTACTGGAGTAAGGGGAACTTTCATGAAAATAAGACTGAGAGACATCTGGATTTTCTGAAGGTGAGCAGATCAAGTTTTAAGGTTTTAAGACATATGGTCTTTTAAGACATATGTTTTAAGACATATGGTCTTTGGACATGGCTTTTGGAAGTGAGTGTTTCACAGAGCCCCATTGGGTGGCTGAGGAGAGAACACAATCTCCCGTTTCTCTTAAAGCCCTACATAGTGTGAAGAGTACCGTTCAGAGCAATCCGTCCGTGGCCACAAGGAGATCCTTGCCGAGGGGTTGCACATCTCTCATATGGTTTATATTAATACATGAATATCTTGGTAATATTCTAACATGGTTTACCTTTAAAATCATATAAATATATGCTCTTGGGCTGCATATAAGGAATGAGAAGAGTGGAATTTCATTTTTTTCTGCATCCTCTGTTTCTGTCACTAGACAATGATATATGTGACTTGTTGTGCTGCTTCCACTATTGACACATTAGAGAAAACAACTGCCCAGTACCGTGCTATAAGTGGAAGACATTTACCTGGATGTAGAACTTCTAGGATGGCTTCAGTGTCTTATTCAGATGAAAACTCGGCCATTTTAGACCAATTTATCATGTATTAAATCTGGAAAGACAAAAAGATTAGTGTGATTCACTGAATATGGCCAGATTTTCATTTTTTAATTGACAGAGTAAGTATTAACACTACATCTTAAAAATGTTTTTGAAGGGAATGAAACCATCTGGTCCACATCAAGAATATATTTTTCCTTATGTAGAGTTAGGCCGTACTAAGTGGCAGTCTGTCGTGGGGTTACATCCTCTTCCTGGTTGTAGTCGACGTCTTCCCTCATACCCTTGTAGATACTCACCGGAGAAGGAGAAAAAGTGTTTTTGGGTAAAATAGTGCAATCTTATTCTAAGACACTTCTGTAGACATAGCTCCTAGTATAAGAAGTATCATAATAGATTAGGTTTTTAGTTGTGAAGCTACAGGTAAACTTTGATAAATGATCCTTTTTAATATAAACCTATATGAGTGTTATTTTAACATAATTTAAAAAATCTTCTTAAAAAGAGATCTTTTTTCTGTATTTCTGTTTTTATTTTTTCTTTGTAGTAATACATACATGTGGTTTAAATGTCAAGTTACAAAGGAGTGTAAAATAAAAGTATATGTCTCCTAGCTCTCTGTAATGGTCTCTCTAGATCCACTTCCTAGAGATACTTACTACTAATAGTTTCTCGTGTATCCTTTTAAGACTTTTAAAAATGTATACACATGCATACAGATGTGTATATCCACGGTTTTTCATTTTACGCCTCCTACTATTCTGTTGTGTGTGTTTTTTTTTAACTTAACATGGCTAGATCTATAATATATGCATAAATCTACCTCGTTTATTTTGATGATTATACAGTATTCATTGCATTGATTCATGATAATTTATTTAACCAGCCCCCTGTTAATGGATCTTAAGGTTTTCTTTTTTTTAGTTTCTCATTTTGGCTGCTTAAAAACATGTGTCAATGATTCTATTTATATGTGTGCATTTTTTTTTTTTAATTTTTTTTTCAACGTTTTTATTTATTTTTGGGACAGAGAGAGACAGAGCATGAATGGGGGAGGGGCAGAGAGAGAGGGAGACACAGAATCGGGAACAGGCTCCAGGCTCTGAGCCATCAGCCCAGAGCCTGACGCGGGGCTCGAACTCCCAGACCGCGAGATCGTGACCTGACTGAAGTCGGACGCTTAACCGACTGCGCCACCCAGGCGACCCTATATGTGTGCATTTTTTAAGTGGTATATCAGTAGAAAAGTTTCAAATGTGATTGTTAAAGCAAACCGCATACTCCAGGTTTTTGAAAGATACTTAAAAATGTCCTCTAAAAGGCCATACCAATTTTTGATACCCCCAAATCTGGCTTTTATCAAATCTTAAATTTTTTTTTGTCAGTCTTATAAATGAAAAGTACATACTTGTCCTGATTTGCATTTCTGTAGTTATAAGTGAGGTTGAGCTTTTTCTGTTGTTGTTGTTTCCTTATTGTATGTAGTTATTCTTCTACTAGTTTGCCCATTAATGGCCTTTGCTTATTTATTTTTTTTAAAGTTTATTTATTTTGAGAGATGGGAGAGCAGGGAGGAGCAAAGAGAAAGAGAGAGAGAGAAATCCAAGCGGCTGTGTGTGCAGTCAGCGTTCCTGAGTGGAAATCAAGGCTTAACTGACTGAGCCACCCACACACCTGGGGTTTTGCTTATTTTTTAGTTGGGTTGTTCATTGCTTCTCATGTTAAAGAGCTCACGTTCTATTCAGGAAACTGGCATTTTACACGTAATGTGTGGCAAGTAGCTTTCTCAAGTTCCTGTTTCTCTTTTGACTTTGTTTATGGGTCCTTTTTACCATATAATATTTTAATTTTCTTATGTAGCCAAATTAAGCAATATTTGTCATTATGGATTTGGGAGACACTTTTCAGCAAGAATATTATTAAAGCTGAAAAGTTATTCAAGAAGACTATAGGTGTGGTGTAGGTTACCTTTTAAACCACAATGTATACCAACTTTACTATAATGTTGTTATGTGGAAGGATTTTGGCCTTAGAGAATCTCTTTTTATCCCTATATTTCAGTGGTTTTGTGGTTATAGCAAAAGGAATTTCCCATAAGATTATTTCTCTCTTAAAAATACTACCATGATATTAATTTTCTAAACTCTTGTAGGGCACTAGTGTCCCTCAGGAAAAAAAAAATTGGAGAAAGTATCAGATTTACCAATTATCATTCTCTACACAGTTAATGGCAGTTGTCTAAAGATCTGAAATCTAGAGTGGGTTAGATTGAAAGTAATAGTAATTCCGAGACAAACAGAAAGTAAGAAGTATAAAAGTAATAGAGGTTCATTATAGGAACTTTTGAAAGCACATACAAAAAAAAAAAAAGGAAAGAAAAAAGTCACTTTTGATCTTAGCCTTGATCTTAATAACCCTCAAAAACTTCTAACATTTGTTATATATTTTTCCTAGTCTTATCTGGTTCACAGTGATGCAGACATTTAAAAAAATATATCGGTTATTTTAATCACAAATCAGTGCTAATAGAACTGTTTCCATTAGAATACCAATGGCCCAAGTAAGGCCTTAATGGCAACTTGACAGTAATCTAAACACCCACACGCACACACTGGACCACACTCATGATTTATGTTTATATATTGCTCTATAATGATTATCTTTCCTTGCCGTTAAATATTATTAAATATGTAAAAATGGCTATATAATGTCACATCATATGGCTTAACCTAACAGAAATGTAAAAGAATAGATTTTTGTTCCTCTCAAAAATGTATTCTGTTAACTCAGTAGACCAAATGCCACAACACATTCAAGAAATCATTACGTAGGAATCACATCAGATTCTTTTCCATTCCTGATAAAGTGGCAGCAGTTAACTGTGTGAAGGTTAAGGGCTGGGATCCATCATGGTACAACATGTTTTATGTGAAGTGACATCATTTGAATGGAAAGATTACTAAAGCTGGGTTAATGGAACATTCTTGTTCTAGCAGCATACTACACAGATTTAGAAGCATGGAAAATACATTTGAATTGGATATCGAGAAGAGTTTGGGTCAAAAAGTCAAGGGAATAATAAAAGTATAAATGTATAAAGTTTACTAGAAGAAATGCTGTGAGGTCATTCATTCATTCATTCATTCATTCAATTTGTTTAGGAAAAAACCTGGTGCAGATTCTATGCAGCCCCAGTCACAAATATTTGGGCTCATTGAGACCAGCAGGACTGTAAAAGGTCATAAGAGAGTCACTGCTGTATCATTTATCACTTATTAGCTTTAAGAAACTCTGCTGCTACATGCAGGATGTCTCCTGGGCATTACCGCCCCTCTAAGCCCCAGGTGCTTGGCATTATGGCAGCCCTGGGTTGGTTGTGTCCTAAGCCTTAAGTTACAAATTAGACACTGTACTGTTAGGGCTGCTTAAAGTTCTCGATCTAAGCAGCTGGTGAAGTTCCATCTCCCAAGGATGTCCCTTTATCACTGAGAAAATTATAGCTGCTCAGTCCTGTTGACACACCTCTCCTCTCAAACGTGATCACAGGGAACCCAGACTCACTTCAGTCTTTTGACCAACATCAATGAGCCCCTGTCAGAACAACAGGCTTTTGGCCAAATCCAACTGACAGCTCTCAGAAAATCTACATGCACTGGGAGAAATCGTTCAGAGACTGAATCATCTGGGGAGTCACTGGCTTAACATAAGTCACCATTTGCTTGCAAACTGACTAGTAAGTAACTATATTCGACTAGTTTTGTGAACCATGCTTGTAGATAAGTGTTTATATTAAAAGCTGAAAGAGTGATATATAATTTGAGTTGGAAGGCTGAATAGTTTGTATACGTAGGGAATGACTTGTTTAAGAGAAAACATTTTTATAGCATCAGAATACCCAAAGATAAAATGAGTAAATTATAGGTAAGTTATGAGAAAAACAGAGATATTGAATCTTAAGTTTTAAATAATGAGCTTTCATAATTTTAGTATTTATTTTCCAACTAAAGAAAGAATTTTTAGAATTCTCCATTATTTCACTTAAAGGTGAATATGACAGGCAAATGTTGCAACTAAAATAGAATAGATCTTATTTTTTCTATGAGGGAAACAGAACTTGATTTCAAATGATAATGTGAAATAAATTCTCAAATAATTAGTTGGCCTTAAAAAGCAGGCAGTGTAGTGTAGAGCAGACAGTGCGGCGTGGCAGGTAAGAGGACAGGAATCAAAATTCCTTTGTTTCAATCTTGACTCTACCAGTTACTACATTTGGGTGAGTTTCTTATCTTGTTATTACTCAGTATCCCAGCCTATAAAATGAGGATAAAGCAGTGATTATTTCATAGGGATGTTGTGAGGATTATATAAAAACAATATTAAAGGATGAACATTGTGTCTGGCATATTATTATATGTGCTCAATAAATGTTAGCTTTATGTAAAAATGTTAATTTATTAAAAAGCCAGTATAACCTCTAGGCAATTATTCCTAACACATCCTGGGTGCTGTATGCACACTTGGACTTCTCTAACTTCATTTTGCATTTGAATCACCTGGGGTTTTTGTTAAAAATGCAGACTTCAATGGGTCTGGGTGGAGTCAGAAAGTCTGCATTTCTCACAAGTTCCCACATGTTGCCCACAAGGCTGGTCTTTGCCTTAACACCTGAGACAATGGTGGATGGTTGCTCCTAATTTATAATACAGTGGTTCTCAGTAGGGAAAATGGGAATAAGGGAAGTGTAGACAATATGTAAAGATTTAAAATCCCAAGTGATTGTAATATGCTTGCCTTGCCTTTTCCCTAATGCCTGAAGAACCACTGATTTGCTATTTCAACTTCTATTTTGTTTCTCCATTTCTTACTCTATTCTCTACTTTCCCCCTTGCCATTACTGTCTTAGACTAAAAAAACAGTATTAATAGTTCCCCAGTTACTAAGAATAAAGCATCAATTTCAAGCCATTTTATTGTGTATAATAGGATACTCTACTCAAATGAGGTTAGACAAATGGTTTCTCTCTAATATATCTCTTCTAAACTATAGGGATCTGAAAAATATACTTTCCATAGCTTTAGCTGAAAACAAACAAACAACAAACAGGCAAGAAAGTGATGTGTGGAGCATTCAGTAATAGAATACAAAGATGAATTGGATGTGGTTCATAGTATCAAAGGAGGTATACTCCCATAAGGAAGGGAAAGTTGTGGTAGATATTATGGAAGTGGCTGAAATCAAACAGTGTGACCCCAGCATACGTTCTACCTGCTCTGAAAGGTAGGACAGAAGGAGGCTTATTTTTAAATGGCTTTCCACCCCAGTGGCACTAAGATGTTTGGAGAGACTCATAGCCAAATATATACTCAGTTTGACCAACATCTCTCTAGGGCAAAGACCATTTTTATACTTTCATGTGTTCGTAAGGATCTAACATCACTCAGATGCATAGTATTCCCTCTGTAAGTATCTTCTACATATAATTCTTTATTTCCCAAGTTGGATAAGAGGAGCTTTGATTAATATTAATTGGTAAATAGCTAAAGACATCTTAGAGAGCAAATTAGCAATCATAAACTCTCTTTAATAGTACACAAACATGTATTTGACTCCAACATTCTTACTCTGAAGTTAACCAAAGTATTAAATCCACTGATCTAAATAAGTTTTAACATAATTTGGTGAAGAAAAAAACAGCTTATATGTGTATAAAAGGAACAAGAATTCACATAAAATTTCACCCCAACTGAAGGATTATTAATCTATAATTTTAAATTATAAGGACATTTAGACCTAGGACTTTGAATATGAAGGCTCAATGTGATTAGGAAAAACAAAGCATACCCATTTCTTCATCCATTTTCTAAACTAGTAAATGTTAGAAAAATAATTAAATGTGATACTAGCAACACAATTTAAAATATTCGTAGATCTATGAAGGAAACTCTAATAATCATTTGCAAATTCTAGACATTTATTTCCACTTAAGACATTTGAATGATGCACCTATTTAGGAACCAGACAAATAAAATCTCTTTTAAACTGAGTTATAAGAATAATGTAAAATATAACAGTCATACAATATTTACAGCATGTAGTGAATTCTATGTTAGTAAAATATTTGAAAGATGATTTTGTTTTTAATACTCAATGGAATTTTCTTCCCTTGTGACCATATGCTATGAAGAGAAGGAATAAAAAAATCAACAAAACTTTTAATGTTAATACAACTACTAATATCAAGATTCACTTACTTCTGTTTCTATCACTGTTCTAGATATAAACTTTTGTTTTCTATTTCCACTTGTCAAATATCATTAAAATTATCACTGACTAATAAAACATTTGGCAAATTTATAGCTTTTTTTTTTCCTTTTTTTGCTGTCATTTATTTTGGATGTGTTTTAGAGCTTTAAGAGGATAATGGTGGTCATTTGCCAGTTCAGTTAAATAGTACCTTAAATCCCTAATGGACTACTTGATTTAAGATGGTTTTATATATTAAGCTATCAAAAAGTTGAATTTTGGTAGCTAAAATTCATATAATGAATAAAATGTAAAATAATAGCTAAATTTAGGCTAGAAATGGAACAAAACTTACTTTTACTTATGGGAACTATGGCATACTATTTTAATAAGTACCTACATGACAAGATACACAAACCATGTAATCCAATGACTTTAGGCAGTTTTGTAAGGGAACCCTTAGACATATTTTGAAGAAAAATAATAGCACTTTCCAGTGGTAATGAATTTAATAGGTGATTTACCCAGTTTACTAGATAACCTGGGAGAAGAGCATTCCTATCCTGGCCTTGACTGCTTTGTCATAGTTTACTGGTCTGGCTCTATATTTGTTTATTGCCACCGTGTGTCTTCAGGACAGCTTTCTAACCCTCACAACACTTGGATTTACTTCCAACAGCTAAATAAAATTCTTAATTTGCCAGCTAACTTGGGAGACTGTCTGGCATAGCCCAGTCATGACCGAGTAAGGCAAAGCACTAGGTAAACTAATGAGAGTGGGGGGCCAGAGGCCAGGAGCCTGCATCAGGCAGCCAAAACATGCAAGTGTTATGGGACTGGTCTAGGTCCCTGTAACAAATTTGAAAACAAAACATAGCAAGTCCATTATCTGTTTGAAAAGGACATGGAGATATTCACCATATAATTAAACTCTTAGTTTTAAATGCCTCTCAGCTAAGTATTTTACCTGGGCTTTTGTTAAGTAGCAGATTAAATTTTCTTTCATTTATTTTCCCTCTCGAATTGGGCAAATAATTAGTGATAGTAACAACAACAGTAATAAGCAGCAGCAACAGACCAAAAAATGCACACACACACACACCCACACACTTCTTACCTCCAACTAGAACACACACACACACACACACACACACACACACACACACACACACACGGCAAGAAACCTTAACAATCCGTAAATTTGCTTTTTTTTTTTTTTAACACAACCAGGGTTAGAGAATGACAGTAAAGATTTAAGCTCAGAACTCTTGAGATGGGGAGCATTGGCAAAGCGATGTAGTGACTGAAAGACATTTTATAAATCTCAAGGAAGGTAATTCTTTCTTTGGCATCAGTGGAACCAGTAGAAGAACACTAGGTTTCTTCTGAGTTGGATGATGGAGCAAGTGATTCAGTTTAAGGTCAAAGAAGAGCCGAACCAGGAATCGAGGCTTCGGGATGGCCACAAAGAACAATGAAGTCAGGAAGAAAAGGGAGAGACAGAGTAGATGACAGACTCGACACTCATAAATGTGAAACTTAGCAAATGCTGAGACCTGGCAACTTAGGGTACACTCCTTGAGCTTTACACCACGTTATGGGAACTGCCAGCCATTATCAGGAGGGATGGACTTTCAGAGCCAGCGCTGGAAACCTAATGGTTTTCCAGAATAGGCAATATACCAGGAGAGTTATTTAGAGAGTTTTGAGGGTCCTAAGCATGGGCAAAAGGGTAATTATTTTAGACTACTATTTTTTAAGCAAATAAATAGGAAACAAAAGGAATCAAGGAATTTTATCACTGGAGGGAACCTTATGGTCAGGGACCGGAGGTTCAGGGTTGTGAAATAACTCTCCTGAAAGCAAGCAGCCAGTTAAGTGGGTCTCTCCATTCGCCGGCTTCCTGTGCTTCTGCACTGCCCTGCACTGTCTGCCAGGAGGGTGGCAGAATCCACCACAGCCTGAGACAGATGACCTAGGTGGGGCCTTTAGAGCTAGGGAAATACTACAGGAGGCGGGGGAGCAGGCAGTTTCTTCGAGAAGACTTACAAAAGGGTTATAGCTAATGCTAAAGGAAATAAACACCCGGGGACCCAGGACACTCAGATGGTGTCTATCAAGAGAATCATGTTGGGGATGAGGTACCTAATAGGAGAAACAAGTTGCTCAACAAAGTTATAAAACAAAACAGTGTGTGCCAGATTTCTTGCATCCTTCACTGTTACTTTCTCTTCTCTGAATGACACTAGACATAAATATAGCCAACTCCCAAATTTGATCCCAGGGGAAAATGAGCACCCAAACTTTTACGGAGAAGAGGACGCTTGGAGGGCTCCAGTAGTGGGATTCTGATACACCGCCAGAAAACAAAGATTAGGTAAAGAAGCCCTAGATGGATACAATAGCGGGGTTTCTACTGGGTGCCCAAAGACGATGGGGCAGGAGACACTTTGGGAAAGACTTGCTGAGGTCTTGGGGAGAAGTAGCAGGCTGGCGCTGTAGAGAGACTGGGCTGCACAGTTAAGAGAATTGGAGAATGGGGTGCTAGATAGGTGGTGTGGAGGGAAGGGGCCAACCAGAAGCTTCTCTTAAAATCGCACCTCAGTTACAAACGTGGACTGACCAGGGCTATGGAGATTGGGGTGTCGAGACACCCCAGCTTCTCCCCCTCACCAATCTGATGAATCAGAGGGCACCTGGGGACACCTGAAGGTGGGACAGTTTGTCCCTGGTGGGGGCGGCGCACAGTACCAAGGACACACAGGGTTTGTGGGGAGGGGTGAGGGGAAGAAGAGCCATGCTGGGCGTTTCCTGGGAAGCAGAGGGGGAGGGTGGGGACACTCTTAACTTCACCTTCGGAGTAGCGTAACTTTTAAATGGACGCCCCACGGAGTTCTACCGGCTTCTTGCTCCGGACGCGGTTAAAGGACAAGAGTTAGCTAAAAGCCTCGGGAAGAAAGTTTATTTGGTTGGATCCCATTTCTGCAGATTTCTGGCCTGTACTCGAAAGAGTCTGGTCAAATCAGAATGACCTTTTGGGGGCACGCAGCGAGCAATCTCAAATTGTTCCCTGCAACCCAGGCGCCCCTCACCTGATTTGGGGAAAGGCAGCCAGTTCCCGGTGGGCGCCGACCGGAACTGAGCTCTCTCTCTCCTTCGTCCCCGGGAGCCCACCAACACAGCACCCGCGGTGAGGACACCTTGACAGGAAACTGACCAGCCCCGCCCCGCGGCCCCCGAATCTGCTTGGGCAGTCCTGGTCGACTTACCCGCGCCCGGGGCCCTGAGCTCACGTCGGACAGCGAGTTGGCAGCGCTGGTGCGGGGCTTCCGCCCGCGTCTTCCGCGTCCCGGCGGTGCACCCTCACTCCCGGGGTTCGCTCGGGCTGCTCCCCATCAGTCGCCGTCCCAGCCCGAAACAGATGCTCGCCGTGCCTGCCACCACTGCCTGGGGCCCTGGGCTGACGAGCGCGCTGAAATCGTCCGCGACGCGGCAGCTCTGAATTTATAGAGAGGGGCGTTGCTGCTCGGTAGGTTCCAGGGATGAGGCACTGTTTTGCATTCTCTCCTCCTCCGCCCCGCCCCTGGAGACCCTCTTGGCCCAACCCCCTCCCTCTCCAGATGCTGACGGAAGCGGGAAGATGCCACAGTCATCGTCAGTGTCACCTACCAGATCTCTGCGCACGAGGCTCGGAGCCCTGCGTTGGGGAGGGTCGCCAAATGGAAGAGAAGTGGGGGTACAGGAGAAACAGTTCATGCCCGGGATAAATGTTTCCCTACTCTCTCTCTCTCTCTGTCTCTTTTTAACTTGGAAAACTTTTTAAGGACGAATTCGGGAACTTCTTTTTCCTGTGACTAACTCAAACTTTGACAATAGGGTTGTGGATCATAAATGCCATAGATTAATTTCAGGCTTACAGAGTGAAAGGGTGGACATTTATATCCTCCCATTGGGCATGCTATCAGAGTTGCATGTTTAAAACTGTGAAAATAGAAAAACTTGAAGAACAAAATATGACCAAATATTTAAGGAAGAATTAGTATAATTTCTTCACAAGCTATTCCAAAAAACAAGAGGATCATTTCCCAACTCATGCTGTGAGGCCAGTATTGCCCTGATCCTAAAACCAGATAAGATACCAGGAAAAAAGAAAACCCAAACAATTATCTTTTATGAATGTAGATACAAATCCTCAATAAAATCAACAAATCAAATCTAGTAACATATAAAAATACCCATGATCAGGTGAGATTTATCCCAGGACTGCAAGATGAGTTTACTGAAAATCAATTGAGGGACTGCATCATATCAATAGAATAAAGGACAAAAACCACGGGATCATCTTAATAAATCAGAAGAAGCATTTGACAAAACTCATCACCCTTTCATGATAAAAATACTCAACAAACTAGGACTGGAAAGGAACTTTCTCAGTCTGTAAAGTCCACCTGTGAAAAACTAACATGATACTTAGTGGTGAAAACTGAATGTTTTTGTATCTAAGATCAAGAACAAGACAAGGATGTTGGTTCTCCTCACTTCTATTCAACATTGTGCTAGAGGTTCTAGCCAGGGCATTTGGGCAAGAAAAAGAAATAAAAGCCATCTATGTGAGAGTGGAAGTAAAAGTATTTTTATGTGCAAATGACATGATATTATATTTAGAAAATCCTAAGGAATCAGTGAAAAAAAAAACTAGTAGAGCTAATAAATAAGTTCAGCAAGGCTTCCAGATATAAGATCAATATACAAAATCAGTTGTGTTTCTGTGCACCAACAATGAACAATCCAAAAGTGAAATTAAGAAAAATTGCATTTACCACAGATCAGAAAAAATAAAATACTTAGGAATAATTTAACAAAAAAGGTAGAAAACTTATATTCTAAAGACCGTAAGACATTGAAAAACATTAAATTAGACCTAAACAAATGGAGTGACATTCTATGTTCATGAATTGGAAGATTTCATATTGTTAAAATGGTAATACTCTCTAAATAATATACAGATTAAACAGAATTTGTATAAAAATCCCAACAAGCTGTTTTTGAAGAAATTAACAAGATGATCCTAAAATTCGCATGGAAGTGCAAGGGACCCAGAATCGCCAAAACAATCCTGAAGAAGAAGAGCAAATTTGGAGGACTCATTTTCCTGATTTCCAAATTTACTATGAAGCTGTAATAATGAAAACAGTGTTTTACTGACATAAAGATTGATATACAGATCAAAAGAATAAGAATTGAGTCCAGAAATTCTAGGATATTAATGGTCAATTTTTGACAAAGGTACCAAGACAATTCAATGGGGAATGAATAGTCTTTTCAACAGTGTGACGACCAGTGCCAGTCTGTGAGTGAAATTTGGAAATGCTCCTGTAATTATTGTGTGAGATTCAGGACTACTTTATATCTTCATATCTAAATTTAGTGCTATAAATAATTAACCATAGTCAGATCTGTACTAAATTCCAGCTTAGTTTTAGAAATGATGAGATTTTTGAGGACCAGAAGTCTCTTAGAGAGTCAGCTGTTTTGGGTGCAACCTCTTCAAAGGGTGGGCTTTGCTCTTAGGAATATTATATTATCGGAAAAAGCAGATGAGAAGGAAAAGTTCCCAAGAAATTAATGGCATCGTTATTACTGTGATCAATCAGCTGAGTAATGGTATGGTTTAAGAACTGGCTTTTCTGGATATAATAACACATTAATACTATTCAAAAAGATGGACATTAGAGTTGACTAGAGATAAGGATTTGAAGCCCAGCTGCAAATATATACATGCATGCATATGCATAGAAAAAAATGAATGTACTTTCAGTAAAATGCATGCAGTGGTTGTTCTGAAGTCAGTACTTATGGAAAATTTTGGATTGTATTTGCTTTTTATGCTTGTGTTTATTACCCAAATTTTTTATAACAATTATACCAGTATATCAGGTAAACTAGAAGGCAGGGAGCTTAGCATAGGAACTATTTGGAGAGCAAGGAATGTCTATGTGGACACGTTTTGCTCCCACTAAACTTGAAGGTCTGATGGCTGCAACCACATGAGGATGCCTATACCTGAACTTCAGGGTATTCCTGTAGTTTAGAATATGCAATTGGTTCTCTCACTTATGACAATTCAGTACTTAGCATTTATATAAGGAGGAAGTGTTATAAACATATGTAAATATTCACAGTGTTCAGGTTTGTTTCCAAATAGAGGTCCATCCTTGTGACTGTAGTCTATTCTAAGAGAATAGAGCCAGGCTTTTGAGATGGATACCATGGCAGACATTAACCTAGTCTGCTATTGCATGTGCTTCAGCTTATTGTCTCAGAGAGAATATTGGGTAAGACTGATGACATTATATACTCTTATCCTATGTGTACTTTCAAATGAATTCATAGTATATACCTGCTGGTGATTGTAAATTGGAACTCATACATATGGCCACTTACATTACTCAAAATGGAAAAAAAGAACATTTTCTGTATTTCTCTTGTTCTAAAATTTAATATATCATTAAGCCTCATCAACTTTAAACTTACCAAAGGAACTTCATTCCAATTTCTCTCTCTCCACTTTTTAAAATTTTTACCTCTATGCCTAGATTCTCTCAGATGCCTTTCACATCTCTTTAGGTTTTTTATTTCCATCATTTTGCCCATGATGATCCATTTCTAGACTACCTTCCAATCTTTGCCACTTGAAAACTTGCCTATCCTCAAAGACTCAGATCACATGCCAGTTTTTAATTTTCCCACTCACATCTACCAGAAGTTACCACTTTCTCCTTTGAACTTTGTGTGACTGTTTCTGAAAATATAAAGTAGCATGAATTTATGGAAAGAGATGTTCACTAGATGTTTAGAGACCTGGAGTCCATTTTCTATTCTCTCAAGAGGTATCAGTGAAGGTTGGCCAAGCCAATGGATATCTAGATCTTTCCTTAGATTTAGTTTTTCTGATACCAGTTTACAAGTTATGTGAACTTGGGCAACAATATTTAACCTTTTTATGCTTCAGTTTAATTATTAGTAAAATGTGAGTACCAATAGACCTAATTCATTGTGAATGAGGATCAAATGAATTAATACATGTAAAGTAAATAGAACGATGCCCGTTCTATATTAGTGCTTAAAAAAATGTTAGCTTTAAAAGAGAATAACCCCAATAATTCTAAACAGGTGTGTTGTCCAATTATCCAAATATAGTCCCTACTCTAAGAAATATTTTTGATAAGATAGGGATCTTACTCAATGTACTTTATCAAAATTGATACCCCTGCTTTTTAAATAGTTTTATAGGAATATAGAGAAAGAGAAGACTATGACAACAAAAGAACATTGTTGAGTATTTTTTTTTTTTTCATTGTTGAATATTCTTGATTGGGGCACGTAGATAGCCTCATTAAGTATAACTAAGTTTTACAATGCTGTGTATTATAATGAGGATCTATGTCTCAGGAAGTTTATTTAAATTGTCCATATGGTGTTTTCACTCTTATATGGATCCTGAGAAACTTAACAGAAACGCACGGGGGAGGGAAAGGAAAAAAAAAAGACGTTAGAGTAGGAGAGAGCCAAAGCATACGAGACTCTTCAAACTGAGGGTTGATGGGGGGTGGGAGGGCGGGGAGGGTGGGTGATGGGTATTGAAGAGGGCATCTTTTGGGGTGAGCACTGGGTGTTGTATGGAAACCAACTTGACAGTAAATTTCATATATTGAAAAAAAATTGTCCATATGGTATACTGTAAGGAACTAATATGTAGAGTGAGTAAACAACTGTTTTACCCCTCTTATTTTCTATGTTTTACTTATGTAACTTCTTAAAAAAATTATAAATATCACATCTCATTAACTAGACAACTATTCTACTATTTCTTATCACCTTCATTTATAAAGAGAGAATGGACATTTGCAAGGTTCTGTAACTCACTAGAATATAAGGGTATTCCAGTAATTGTTATTCAGTAAGCTGGCGAGTGTGATATAATCTGTAGAGGCTTGGAACAATCTAAAAGAGTAAAATATTTTATTCTAAGTTATATTTGGCTTCATGAGTAAGACATTTAGCAATTATTTAAATATCCACAAGGAATGAGGGAACAACTCATAGGAATAAAATTATTCTTAACTTTAGAGATAAACTCAGGTGTAGTAAATGAAGATGGATCAATTTAGTACTGAATTAATTTTACTTTCTAAAAAAAAAAAAGACAAGGTTAGTAAACTCACCAATAAAAGTGTTGATAGATGATAGGAAAGAATGAAAAAATACTACGCAAAGTTCCCAACAAGAGAGTTGTAATATGTGTTTTAAGTCTATGAACATCATTATTAATAATCATCGAATAAATACATCATGCTCGGAATAAATGAACTGACATACATAAGAATTATATCAACTTATTAAATATTTAATTGAAAAGAAGGAAGTTTTATATAATTGCTAAAAAGATGGAAGTGCTGAGAAATGAAGCATCTGGGAAGAACAAGGTAAGTGTTTAGGGTGGCAAACAG